CTGTTTGTTTGCTCTTTCTCCCCCAGCTGATAACGCCTCCCAGGTGTAGACAAGACTGTGCAGTTCTCCGGGGTTAAAATCACCTCCATAGCCTGCGGTGGGGGTGGGGGGCCCAGGCCCGCCTCCTGTCTGGCCCCTGAGATGACATGTATTATCTCTGTGCTTGTGTGTATCATATTTTTGACCCACACAGTGTTTGGGGGGAGGAATGAGTTGCAAACATTTTAAAAGTCAGGACATTTTTATCTAAAAACTCAGGTTTCCTTGAGAAAGGGTGAGATTTCTGCCTGGCCTGGGATTGGCCCCAGGTCCCCCGGGCTAGCCCTGTCCACTCCCTCCCGGCCCCCCGCCCCGTGTTTCGGCCCCTTCTCCAGGGCAGCAGCTTTGAAGCCAGGCACTGAGGACACTCCGGAGGCTCCACGGGGCCTTGTGGGCCCTGCTCCTGGTCGGCCGTGGCCATGTGCACGAGCCCTGCCTGCAGGCACCCGTCTGGCTCAGGGGACAGTGAGGATGCTCACACCAGTCCCTGAGTGCAGGCCGCGCCCCATTGTATTCATTTGTTAGTCCTCACCCAGGACACATTTTCCATTGGTTTTGGAGAGAATGGAAGGGAGGGAGGAAGGGGGGGAGGGGAGAGAGAGAGAAAAAGAGAGAGAGAGGGAAGGAGAGAGAGGGAGGGAGGGAGGGAGGGAGAAAGAGAGAGAGAGAGAGAGAGAGAGAGAGAGAGAGAGAGAGATTGATTCATTAGTTGGCTCCTGCAAGCGCCTGACCAGTCCCAGGATCAAACCTGCAACCTAGGTCCATGCCCTTGACCCTCAACCCCCCTGAGCCACACTGGCCGCCTTTTTTTTTTTTTTTTTTGAGCCACTATTGCACTTAGTTCCCACAGAGGCTCAGGGAGGAGGTGCCACTGTCCCTGTTTACAGATGAGCAGCCAGGTCGCCCGGGGGCCACCCTGCTCAGTGCCACCCGACTAGTGGCGGCAGGGTCGCGCTTTAGGTCTGGTCTTTGGATCCCAAAGCTGCCCCCTGCACTGAACTTCCTCTTGCCCCTCGGGCTGTGGAGGAAACAGTCTACAGAGGAGACAGGTTCCTCTTGCCCCTCGGGCTGTGCCGGGGAGCAGAGGTGAGCAGTGGGTCGGGGTCCCCGTGGGCCTGGTCCTGTCACCGCCTCCTGGCCTGGGACAGAGAAGTGTTTTTGGGGCCCTGGTTCCCTCTTTGTCAGAGAGAGGACCTTACACCCTCTCCTAGGGTCGTGGGGGAGGATGGACCCAGAGCTTGCAAAGGCCCGGACAAGGCCCCCTGAGGCACGACGTGCACCGAGTGCAGGTGAAACGAGGCTTGTTCTGCAGGCTAGAGAAGTGAGCAAGGTGACAGTGTGGTCC